GGGGGGGGGGGGGGGGTGGTTGGCGCTTTATAAATAAACATTCTTAGGAATGCTTATTGAATTTTGTGACATTTAATTAACTTTCCTAAATATAAAGCACATGGATGATAGTTTCCATTTGGTATTAAGTTGTCTTACTGGACAAACTTACCTTATTTTATTCTCAGTATCTTTGTTACGTTTATGGTCACCGATTAGAAAAACAATTAGTAGACTTCGATAAATCTAAAAAAATTGCCCAACGATTAGGAAAAACAATAGAATTATTCTTAAATTTAACTAAGAATACAAGAAATTTGTGAGTCCCTCCTCATTAAAGATCATAAATTTTCTTGCGAATTCAGTAAAAAATTTCATTTCTATAGATTTTTTTGGCCTCATTTTTATATATTGTCAATCGAGAGACATGGTCCTAATTATGTTTGAGGTCATGTTAATGCACGGAATGAAATGATCAAATGTAAGTGGAGTGAAACAAGTACATCGACTAGCTTGAAATCATGGTAATTTTACATTCATCTTAGCGATAACTACATCATCTCCCGATCGATTATGTTATAAGAACGAGTCAAATAAGTCCAACATGATTAGAATTATCCAGGATAGGAATATGTTTTTATTATGAAATAGAGTCTCTAACAAATAAAAAAGAAAAAAGAAAAAAGAAAAAAGAAATTTGCATAAACATAACACATGGGTCATGTCGGATCACTTACAAAGCTCAGACCCTCGGTACCTTTTTACTTGCAGGCTCTGGTTTCATGTGAAACCCGATTCAATTGCTTACTCTGTTCATCTCTATCAACTGTCAACCAAATGGGTCTCGTGACAGTCAAGAAAATCTTCACTGCCCAACTTTATTTTTTTTATTCTCTATCATTTAATGCAAACAGAAATTCAAGATTGTTACAATGTGATAGACTATTAAAACATAATAGATTGTTACAATGTCAATTTTCATTTTATTTAAATAAGGAAAACTAAATAAATATATTCTTAAAACAAATATGAAAGTTGAAGAGAAAAATGAAACTTTTTAAATTCTAAAAAACATAATAGAAACCAACATTCATGACTATTTTGTATAATTCAACCATTTGACAGAAGAGCTGGGCTTCAAATAGAGGTATTCTATAATCAAACTATGACACCCTGTTAGGAATCACGACTCTCCACAATGGTATGATATTGTCCACTTTGAGCATAAGCTCTCATGGCTTTGCTTTGGGCTTCCCCAAAAGGCCTCATACCAATGAAGATAGTATTCCTCACTTATAAACCCATGATCTTCCACTAAATTAACCAATGTGGGACACTCCCAATCCCAATAATCCTCAACAATCCTCCCCTCGAACAAAGCACACTATAAGCCTCCCCTGAGGCTTATGGAGCTCTCGAATAGCCTCCCCTTAATTGAGGCTCGACTCCTTCTCTGGAGCCCTCGAACAAAGTACACCATTTGTTCGACACTTTAGTCACTTTTGACTACACCTTCGAGGCTCGCCATTCTTTGTTCGATATTTGAGGATTCTATTGGCATGGTTAGGTTTAGGGCATGGCTCTGATACCATGTTAGGAATCACGACTCTCCACAATGGTATGATATTGTCCACTTTGAGCATAAGCTCTCATGGCTTTGCTTTGGGCTTCCCCAAAAGGCCTCATACCAATGAAGATAGTATTCCTCACTTATAAACCCATGATCTTCCACTAAATTAACCAATGTGGGACACTCCCAATCCCAATAATCCTCAACAATTGGTATGAGGCCTTTTGGGGAAGCCCAAAGCAAAGCCATGAGAGCTTATGCTCAAAGTGGACAATATCATACCATTGTGGAGAGTCGTGATTCCTAACATGGTATCAGAGCCATGCCCTAAACCTAACCATGCCAATAGAATCCTCAAATATCGAACAAAGAATGGCGAGCCTCGAAGGTGTAGTCAAAAGTGACTAAAGTGTCGAACAAATGGTGTACTTTGTTCGAGGGCTCCAGAGAAGGAGTCGAGCCTCAATTAAGGGGAGGCTATTCGAGAGCTCCATAAGCCTCAGGGGAGGCTTATAGTGTGCTTTGTTCGAGGGGAGGATTGTTGAGGATTATTGGGATTGGGAGTGTCCCACATTGGTTAATTTAGTGGAAGATCATGGGTTTATAAGTGAGGAATACTATCTTCATTGGTATGAGGCCTTTTGGGGAAGCCCAAAGCAAAGCCATGAGAGCTTATGCTCAAAGTGGACAATATCATACCATTGTGGAGAGTCGTGATTCCTAACATGGTATCAGAGCCATGCCCTAAACCTAACCATGCCAATAGAATCCTCAAATATCGAACAAAGAATGGCGAGCCTCGAAGGTGTAGTCAAAAGTGACTAAAGTGTCGAACAAATGGTGTACTTTGTTCGAGGGCTCCAGAGAAGGAGTCGAGCCTCAATTAAGGGGAGGCTATTCGAGAGCTCCATAAGCCTCAGGGGAGGCTTATAGTGTGCTTTGTTCGAGGGGAGGATTGTTGAGGATTATTGGGATTGGGAGTGTCCCACATTGGTTAATTTAGTGGAAGATCATGGGTTTATAAGTGAGGAATACTATCTTCATTGGTATGAGGCCTTTTGGGGAAGCCCAAAGCAAAGCCATGAGAGCTTATGCTCAAAGTGGACAATATCATACCATTGTGGAGAGTCGTGATTCCTAACACACCCATCATGATATTTAAAGTTGCATACTAAAGCAGATGAAGACAAGATGAACCATTCCCACACTTGTACCTTTGAATGGGATTACGAGAAAGTATTGAATCAGCAGTACCAACCATTTGGAAAATGTTGTCACCTTTCGACTGTCATCTTGTTTTCCATATTTCAATTGATTTCCAGAAGTAGGGACCCACAATCTTTTTATTAGCTTGAAAGGTCCTTTCATTTTGTATCAAATATAAAGTGATGAACTATCGAAAAGCTCCATGATGTTTCCAGTTTCCTCCAACAAATGTAATTCATTTACAACCTACTCAACAGATTAATGCTCTAGCTCAAGACCAAGGTGATCGTACTTGATCTAGTAGCAACAATCACTGTGTAACAAACTAGAAGATACAAAAATGGCAGCACGGCTAATAGCCCCATGGTATAGAAGGCTTCAAGTAATTCATACCTTCTAAAACGACCACAATTTCCACAATATAGCTGGACATATGGTTGAGATTCACGAAATGAACTCTTGGTGAATTCTCGTGGTATCAAGCCTGCAGCAAACGTTGTTGAGAGATGTCTGGTTTATTTCATCATAGCTCGAGCTCTTTTAAGTAATTTAAAACAGTAATTCATTGTGCATGGATAAGAAAATCCAGAAGAAGTAATCGGATTTGAATCTAGCTTAGTCCATAAATGTTTTGTTTTTAGCTTATGTTTTAAAAAAGAATACTTTTCATTAACAATGTCTTAGTCAAATATTAGAAACAAAACAAATAGTTTTCACTAGTTTGTGTTAAAATTTGGATAAGTTTTTTTTACAAGGGCTACTTTGGAAAAAATCTTTTTAGTAAACAATTGGTTTTTTAAAAACAGAAAGAGAAACAAAAATTGCAATGGAGTTAATTCATTTTTCCAGGAAAAGTGGCATCAGATTTGGAGAAGAGTACTAACCGTGAAAGTTTAGGGAGTGACACCTTGTCATAAAACATTTGACTTCAGAGAACTTCATATATCTACTGAATGATCTCCTTCAGAGAAAGAACATCATCACGTGGATGGGCATCCACCACTCGAACTTGTACTTCATCTCCAATTTCTGCTCCAAGAGAAACCCATGCAGATGCTTGAAGCCCCACCTACAAATTCCGAATGCACAAGACACAAAATGTAATGATATTCATACTTAGAGAGACTATTTGCACCGACAAAACTATATATAGTTCTATTTCGCTTGAGCAATGGATCTAACAGTGAAACTGATGATTGGGGAAAAAGAAAGTCATTTCTGCATGCATTTGATATTGTCATATGTTTATAAAGCATCAAGTGGGGCAGTTTATCTTTTGGTTCATGGGCCGAACCCACCAACCAGGAGAGGTTATCGGCAATCGACGATAATCAGCACAATGTGAAGAGGCGAACAACCAGTGGAAACAGAAAATAAATCAGATGAGGATCAAATCAAATTCAAACGTGGAGAAAAGAGAGTTTCCTTTTTTCTTCTTTAAGCCCAAGTCAGAATGAGGATTGCATCACAGTCTGAAAGCTTTTATCAATCAATCCTCACCTCAACCAACAGCAGGGCTGCAATTCGATCTTTAATGAACCTAAGAATCAACGCTCGATATCTGTTTTCTTTTGGTTGCCGTCTCAAGTACTCTAATACCCAATAACGATGACTGAGGCTTGAGAGTCTCTTTGCCAATTTAGTATTTATATTTACAGTAGATGCTATCCCTTCCAATTGACCATGGGAATACGGAGGAGAGTCGCCTCTAAGGAATGCCTTAACCTACAAATAAATATAAGAGTAAAACTAAGTTAAAAGAATAAACACTCCATCTACAAAGTCTTGAAATGAATGATTATTAGTTATGCAACCAAAATCATACACAATATAACAAGATGATGTTACGAGTATGGTTGCAATGATGGTGAACCGGCAATTTAAAACTAAAATTCCTGAGGTAATGAGCAAGTAAATTCAGAACTAATACTTTAAAAATGATGACACTACTAAAGCCGCAAGCTTCAAGAAATAGTTCCCCTAAGATAGCAGAGGGGAAGAGAGAACCAGAAAATGTTTCAGACAACAGAATGGTCTATCACGAATAAGGTCCATTAATATACATACATACATACATATATATTACCACATTACAATATGAACAGCATAATAATGTTCTCATCTTTTCTCAAGAAAGGATGTAAGAGATCCAAAAATGTCCATGACAAATGGGTAGTGCAGGCTTGATTAAAAAATAAAAATCCACAGGACACAGGAAATTAGAAGAAATACCTGATAATGTGCAACGAGGTCCAAATACCTACGGATGGGAGATGTAAATTGGACATAACCAGAAATTCCCAAAATCCCATGGCGTATAGGCTTACTGAAGTCAATTTCAGCAGCACGCATTGTTCTAACTATTGCAGAGCTCCTAACAGGTCCTTCTGGAAGATGTGCAAATGCAGATACATCAATATTTGTTTGAGGTTGTCCTCTGTAGGGTAACGGAATGTTATTGCGAGAACCAAAAGTGGCTATAACTTCTCCACATAGGATCATCATCTCTGAAACAAGTCGCATGGCAGGGTTATCTTGGTTTTCTACGTAGAGATTGATTTCAGGATCCAGGTCTTCTGGATTTGCTACCTTGATCCGTGTCTCCAAAGAAGGCATGTCGATTGCACCCTGAAAATTTTATAATATGACGCCAGAACATGGAGGGCAGATAATAACTTACATAAAAAATTAATGCAAGTAGATCTTATAGGAATAAGATCCCATCAAACTTGTCTATAAGAATTCCAAAAGTGATTCTAATTAAACAGTTTTTAACAGAGCCTGATTAATAAACAACCAACATTCTACTCAATACTTTAAGCCACCTGTTGCCTTCGCCATGCTAATCGCGAAGTTGCAGCCTCAGATAGAACTTTAAGTTCAGCCTCCTCTTCCAAGTTCAAACTAAGCAGCTCCGACGCACTTTCATATGTCAGCATGTAAGTTGGTTTGATGATTGAGTTTTCCACAGAATATTCTGCAATGCTATTAATTCATAGAGTGTTAGCGTTCCCATGTTTGCTTCCTTAGTAAAGATATCTTAATGAATGTCATAGTTTCAAGAAAGCAACAATTCTATTCTACAGTGTGAACGCCATCACTCTCTTTAACTCAAACAACAAAAATGACAAGCACAGACAGGAAGAGTTCTCACAACAATTGAAAGTACACAGATAAATGCAATTAAGATAAGGAAAGAACAATAATGTGCTAACAACAACAGTAAAAACTTTCACGTATGATTTTATGATATGAACACAGAACCATCAAATCTTCTAGTTGTATAATATCAAGAACAAGCTTCACAAACTGTAAACCTAATAGAAAAAAGAAATGGCCAAAAAAATCTTCCAAGAAGCATACAATCCCATAGAAAAATTTTATTTTTTTTCAGAACTAAAATAAATTGGAATGGCACTCACCTCATGGACATTTGTCCCTAATATAAAATTTTTAGTAAAGTATCCTCATATTAAAATACATTACGGTAATAACAAGCTTTGATTTCCATCAAAATATAATAAGGAAAGAACAAGCTTTGACTTCCCTAGTATAAATTTTTTAGTGAAGTGGTCTCATAATAAAAACAACTAAGTACGTAAACAAGCTTTACCTTCCATCAGAATGAAGGACAACAGATACAGTAACTGCATTGCAAATTTCTCCTTGTTTTAAACTCATTCCATTCATTGCTAGTTTCTCTGGAAACATAGGGTATGTGGCTGTAGGAAGAAATATAGAAGTTCCTCTTTCCATGGCCTCCCTACGAATGATAAACAAAAAGAAAGTCAGCATGGTGCGAAATATCACAAGAAGTTTAAGAAGGATTACCTGTCTACTATGCTCCCTGGTTGAACAAATCTAGCTGGATCAGCAACATGAATCCATATTTTAATTCGACCATCTGACAATCTTGTTGCACTCAATGCATCATCAAGCTAAAATATTGGATGATAAGAACGTGAGATGGAAGTCTCTCAAAATTTCATGAAAGAATTATACAAAAATAGAAATTCAAAATCATCACAAATTCAGAGTGAATAGACTATAACTAAATGAAAAATACAAAATAAATTATAATTGAGTTATAAAAGAAAGGGAAACAACAGCTTGAATAGGATATAATTTTAATTTTAAAATTATCACCTCATCCGCTTCATCAACATCAATGGCATAAACCTTAAGATGTGTGAGATTCTTCCTGTCAACCTAAACAAAGAGGCATATAGCACACGTCAGAGGCAACATATGAAATATAGAGTAGCAGTAAATCATGAACTACTAATGAAGATTTTACAAGTCCTGGATGGAAATAACTGTTGACAAATTTATAAGGATCTATAATGTAACAGGCAGGGAAGCAAGGGAGAATCTCAAATGATAATATGCATACATAACTTCTTATTATATTTGTTGTTCTCACACATAACAAAATCAGTGATGGAACTTGACGCTACCTCATCGGGATCTGATGCCCCCAGTAAAAGTGATTCCGCAGCTGCTATAATCTCATCTGAATGATATGTCCGAATGTTGAACTTCTGAAGATCAAGATTAACATGCCGAGGGAAATACCCTATATCTATGAGAAGATTTACTGCTGATGATGTTGTTCTCACCAGTCCCATAGCCTTGAGAATCTAAAGAAGAGATTATCAAACATAGTAAGGGCGATGGATGATAAAAATGTACTTTTCAGTCATCAAGCAAATCACATTAAAGAGTTACCATCCCAGCTGTTTTCCTCTGTTCATCATCCTTGCAAGCATCAATAGCATAAGATTCAAGTGACTCAATCTTGTGTCTGGTTTTCTCTTCAGCTGCCCAGGATGATTTAGGTGGTTTGGACTTCGAAGGCATTGCCTTAGCAGATTTCAATAATTCTACAAACTCTTGTAGTTCTTTCTCAGCTGCCTCCTTTGCAAGCTTTTTACGTTGAAGTTCTTCAACCTGGCTTTCAAACAAAGAATTAGAAAATATTTTAGACTAAAAAGACACTGAATCATTAACGGATGCTGTGATAGACAATGTCATCAGCACAAATATTTGTCATGTGACAGATTATTTAATGTAAGACAGATGAGAAAAAGAGTGAGATGCAAAAAAGGATGAAGAAGATTCATTAATGCAACTAAGAACATATTTATCACCAATAAAAAGCTTCAATCAAACTAAGGGTAAAAAAAAGAGTACAAAAATAGTTGAACTATCATAAAATTCTAATTAAGCGCATTGACTGATGGCTCTGCTATGAGGGATGAAACTACACAGGGATTGGACTTCGGGCATTATTATCTAATTATGGATCTGTTCTACTGCACCACCATCATGTCAAGAACATAGATGAGGTTAGGTAATGGTAAACAATAATGTGATGGAGCTTTACAAGCAGAGAGTAACACCAAGATAGAGCAAAAGCACAGAATACCAACGAGGAATGAGAACATTAGATTTAGTTATAGGACACATGCAGAAGTACATCAAGAGACCTTCAATTTTAGGGGTCTGCCCATTGTTTTGGGTTTTGGTGGTTTTAGGTTCGTTTGACCCAATGTAATCAATATCCTGAGTTGCAAGCACAGCCTCATGGGTTGCAATAGTGGCAAAACCAAGGGAAATTTTCTGGAAATCGAAGGAGCTATCCACTTATCTGAGATCATATATCACCTTTTAACACATGAATAGATTATGGCCTTCATCACCTTCTAATACATCTTATCTTGTTTTGATAAGCTACACAATATCACATCTACAGAAGGGACAGGACGAACTATGGAAAAGTCTTGCCAACACGCAAAATGGAGAGAGAGGAAGAAAAATTATAAATTTTACAATAGAAAACGTCTCTTTAGCAGGTATAAGAGATGGCCTTGGAATTGTTGATCTTTAATCATTCAGAATTGATAAATTGGTACCACATAAACTTAGAAAAAACTCAAGAAAGCTGTAAATACTTTCTACCAAATATTATCCATTACAATTATATTTTTAAAGCAGCACTTATTAATTTCCAATCATTCTTAGAACAAGTACATTCCAGAAAGCTGTTGAGGATTATTATTGGGAGTGAGTCCCACATTGGCTAATTTAGTGGAAGATCATGGGTTTATAAGTGAGGAATACTATCTCCATTGGTATGAGGCCTTTTGGAGAAGCTCAAAGTAAAGCCATGAGAGCTTATGCTCAAAGTGAACAATATCATACCATTGTGGAGATCCGTGATTTCTAACATGGTATCAGAGTCATGCCCTTAAACTTAGCCATGACAAGAGAATCCTCAAATATCGAACAAAAAATTGTGAGCCTCGAAGGTGTAGTCAAAAGAATTGTGATACATGATTTCTAACAAAAGCCCCCCATAAAAATCTAGTAGCTCGGTTAGATAATCTTTAAATAAAAGAATGTTTTGAATTAAAATATAACGCGTACTTGGTCAGTAGGTCTTGGACCATAAAAAGATCGCGAACCTTTTGTCTGCAGAACAGTGAAGTATAATTCATCTCTTGATAACAACAGATGTGCACAGTAGCTATCAAGAGGTTCTGTACTCCCAAATATCATCTGTAGAAGGAGCTATAGTCAGTGATAGAACGATTGCCATATGCTCTAGGATACCCAGAAAATTTCATAACCTCAGCTAATTCTTCGGTAGTCACTGCCTTATTTTGTTCTAGAAGCTCAAGCCATGCAAACTCCAACAGTGACGGGTCCTGCACTCATAATTATTGGCTCAAATCAGACTGAGAATCACCACCAATCACATGATATAGGATCTTGTTTTCAAGCAAAGAACAAACCAAGTTATCCTCAGCTTTTTTAATGAAGTCTGCAATTTCTGTCTGCTCGAAATTTTCAACACCTGGAACAATGTATGTAACTTGTTGTGGCTTAATAGATGAAGTGACACCATTCTATCAAAGAAAAAGTGGTGGACCAAGAGAAAATTAGAGTTATGAACTGAATGCTTTGCTTCACTTTTTTTTATTTAAAAAAAAAAACAAAATAAGCCATGAATCAACCTAGTAGCCTATTCAAAATGGTGCGCTAGTTGTTTTTACTAGAACCTGATCGAACACCATCCAGTTTTTTTTCCCATCAGGTCTCTGAGCAACTGCCAGTAATACTCTCTCCGAGTCCTTCTTGAACTCCAGCAGCAGTCCCTTTTCCAATGTTCGGTTCATAAGCTTATCTTCAGTACCATCATCACTGCTCATGCCCACCATTCCCATTCTGGATACATAAACTTTTTATTGCTCAATATTGGAAAATGGGGGGTGCTCAACACCCAAATGATTGTACAAGCTTTAATAAAACAGTACTTAGCAGTAGCAGAAATACTAGAATGTATAAGGGAAGAAATGGAGAATGTACGTTCAAAGAAAAAAACTGAATGCACAAACAACTAGAAATTATCTGACACAGCACAAGAGCCAAAAGGAAAATACAACAATTGAAGGAAAAAAAAACGTACTTAGCGGTAGCAGAAACTTTCTTTCGCCGGCGCAGAGCTTCGAGCTCTTCGACAACGCTTTCAACAATACTGTACAAGGAGTAGAATCGACCTCCACCACTCCTAGAAACTCGGTGTTTATGCCATAATACAGGAGACCTACAGTTTAATTTCGAGCTCCATCGAAACTGAAGATTCCTTGGATTGAAGTGGCAGCATCGGAAGGCAGAGAGAGGCGGGGACGAAGCAGAGCGGAGGACTGAGCAACTGTTAACAGCTCGAAATGCCATAATCGTTTGCAGAAAGAGAGAATCAACGCTCAAGTAGTTAACAAAATTGAAGAATATGGATTTCTAGCTGTTCGGCATCGGCCTGGAGTTGACATCGATTTGGTTTCTTCCTTCACCAAGAGATGGGGATAGAAGAAGAAGAAGAAGAAGAAGAAGAAGAGCGAGTTACGCAGCTGATGATAAAGCTGCGCGATAGGAATGTTGCATTTGGTTTACTATTCGATGAAATCTGTTGGTTCGAATTTCAGATACCAAACGTTTATCTTATTCTTTTTTTTTTTTTTTTAATTAAAAATAAAGAACTTTTAAATTTAATTAAAATCACAAACTAATAATTATTTTAATCGAAGGCTTAAACTTCAACAAATTATTCGATTTAAATCATCAATTTTTTCAAATAAAACTTATTTATCTATTTATCTCCGATTATTGATAAAGAATTACATAATAACTTTTACAGCTACTATGGTTGATTTTTTTTTTTTTAATAATAGTTTTATTTAAGTAATTTTGGGCTTATTTTAAATAAATCAAGCTAATAATAATTATAAACACTAACAAGGGTGTTGTGTAGATTAACCGAATTAATTATAATTATTAATTTGTTATGTTGTAACAATTTTAACCCTATACTTTTAAATTCATCGAATGACAGTCTCAAACTTAGATAAGTGGTGCAATTTTAACTTCTTGTTCCGAATATCCTTTTAAAAAATCTCTAATACATTTAATGAATTATAAAATCTCTAATAGGCTTAACATACGATTGAGTTCAGGCACAAACTGTACCCAATCAGAAACTCGTAGTCACTTGAGAGAACAAGGCCTTGAAATCCTTGGTTGGCGTGCCTACTCCCTCAGGCTTTGAGGCTAGATCAAAGGCCTTGAATTTGGCCTCCTCAAATTGCAGGGCCTGTTCATGATGAGTTCACAGCTGGGATTAAATGCTAAACAGGAAACAAAAGATGATCCACTGTCCTTAAGTAGTGTTCGATCATGAAGAGGACATGTAGACGACAAGTACCTGAAGGCAGACTTCTGCAACGTCCGCCCTGGCAATGGTTCTTGTCTCTGTTTGAAGAAGTTCATCGTCCTTCCCGACTAATAGTTCTCGGATCCCGCCATCCTTGTCCTGCAGACCTCCAGCCCTGAGAAAGCGTACTCCGATTCGGTAAATTCACAGGTTGAAGGCATTTACTTGTAGGGACTAACTACGGACTGATAAGGAAAGAAAGCTTAGATTGATGAGGAAACAATATGGTGACATCCATGAAACTAGATAAATTTGTAAGCCATTTATTAAATCATTCCGGATCAGGATGTATGGGATATAATAATAGACTTTGAACATCTTCGAGTTCTAATAAATTGCCCTTCAAAGTTTTAAAATGTGACTGTTAGGGAGAGGTTTTTACATTCTTATAAGGAATGTTTCGTTCCCCTCTCCAGTCGATATGGGATCTCACCCCTTGGGGGCCTAGTGTCTGACACCAACCGATATGGGATCTCACAATCGCACTTTGATGGTAGCGGACTTGCAATTGTGCGGCACTCACCTCTCAGCAATGAGTGAGCTACGCTTATTCATTCTCGTGTCGCCTAGGGCCAAGCGACGTATGCTCGAGCCTATAGCCCCGGTTCAAGAAGAAAGTTTTAGAAAACGGGGGCAGAAAGATTTCGAAAGAGAGTTTTGAAAGCAAGACTTGAGAGATTGAAATTGGTGTTATATGGAAATGTAAGCAAAAGGCAACAACAACGGCTTACTGCATATAACTATCGGGTAGGGAGAAGTTGACAACTAGTCACATTTTAGTCCTTGCACGTGTAGACACGATTTTGGTGAACGGTCATACACCCTCATACTGACCCAATATGAAATGGTAAAGAACTATCTAGGATGAAAGCATGTAAAAGGGGTTTGGAACGGGCATGCAACCATGAACAACACGTCCTGGACAAGCAAGACCGAGATATCTGTCATGCGGTCATTGACAACATGCCTTGGACATGCATGACCGTGACACCTAGCGTCCTCACTGACACACCGGCCGGTAACTGACACTGATGTGGGATCTCACAATCCACCCTCCTTGGGAGCCTAGTGTCCTCACTAACACCAACCGATGTGGGATCTCACCATCCATCCCCTTGGGGGCCTAGTGTCCTCACTGGCACATTGCCCGATGACTGACTCTGATACCATTTGTAACAGTTCAAGCCCATTACTAACAAATATTGTCATTTTTGGGCTTTCCCTTCTAGGTTTCCTCTCAAGGTTTTAAAACGTGTCTGCTAAGGAGAGGTTTTCACACCCTCATAATGAATGTTTCACTCCCCTCTCCCACCGACGTGGGATCTCACATAAACGCTTTGATCATGCTTAATCTAGTTACAATATTTCCAACTAAATGTGAAGACTAAACAAAGCAGTTTATGAGAATCACAAGTGTTCGTGATTTGAGCGAAGACACAGAACTCTTCAGGATGAAGATGAATATGAAATGCAATCAAAGACGTACCTTATAATGGTATATGGAACACCGGAATCAGCCAAATACTGCTCAGCCTTCCTTTTCCAAACCTATTGTGTAATAAACAGATTTTGATACTCATTTTTGGGAGAAGGACAAGCTCAGTTTCAAAAAAAATTGTGAAGAGATACTAACCAATATGTTCCCATTACCCAAACTGTTCAAGGGATGGTTGATATTGGTTCCACCCATAGAGCCGACCAAAACTATCTGTTTAACTCCCGCAGCCTTGGCTGTTTTGAATCATTATAGCGTTTTAAGCTTGTGAAAACAGAAGCACAAGAAGAAAGGAGCAATTTCATCACTCACCAGCATCAATCTGATTCTTCTGCCCAATCCAATCAACCTAATGGCTAACTTCCATCAGAGAGTGAAATACATAAAAAGATAAGTAATCAAGAAAAGGAAAGTTCAGGTACCTACCTGTTCAGGATATGCTCCATCTTCGAAGTAAAACTCAGGCCTGCCACCTTTGGTAGGATCAAACCCCGGCTTCATTTTCGGCACGGCACTGGTAAGAATGATGAGTGCATCAATGCCTTGAATTGCAGGACCAAGGCTATCTGCAACCCTTATGTCGCCAACGAAAAGATCATCCGCTGAACCGATACTCTGCTTGCTCTCTTCAGTTCTGACCAAACCTCTTGCAATGTACTGATCTGACCTCTCCTTCAATTTCTTGTAAACTAGTTGACCTGCCAAAAAGGTCCAATAAAACCATGTTAAGAATTTGTCCATCCGTTTGTTCTTTCTGAAAAGCTACATAACTGGAACCTGCCTGGAATTATGGATAGCATTTTAATGTTTGTTCTGATAAACAATTTATAAGAATGTCCCGGAATATTCAGTACAACTATGTTTGTTTTGCACACTTTGTGTATGAGGATGTCTTAAGATTATGTGGTTTACAGGCCACACCCACAGCTATTTTTCCCTTCCAAGCTTCTTCCAAGCTTCCCCACAAGGTGTTTAATCGATTTCCCCTCTCTAATCGATTTCCCCTCAAGGTTTTTGGTTTTCATACCCTTATAAAGAATTCTTCATTCTCCTCTTTAACCGACGTGGGATCTCACAATCCACCCCTTCGGAGCCCAGCGTTCTTGCTAACACTCGTTTCTGTCTCCAACCAATGTGAGATCTCACAATCCACCCCCTTCGGGGCGCAGATCCTCACAGGCATACCGCTCAATGTCTAGCTCTGATACCATTTGTTACAGCCCAAGTCCACCGTTAGCAAATATTGTCTTCTTTGGGTTTTTCTTACGAACTTCCCCTCAAGGTTTTTAAAACGCGTCTGCTAGGGAAAAGTTTCCACACCCTTATAAATAATGCTTCGTTCCCCTCTCCAAGATCTCACGATCTTGAATACAGAAGTATTGGGACACTTGGATACTCACCAAACAAACGACCCATACGGAGAAGGAGGATTATCCAAACTCTTTCTCTCATCTTCACTATTTGTACAGTAAATTCTATCACAATTAGAGGATATCAAGGGCTTGAAAGTCCTATCTGTGAAGGATATATCGACCCTATGGAATAGAAAGCTTAGCAACATCATCCATCAAAAGTACTATGGCGAAACTTGAGAACTCCCACCACCCATTTATGTCATGTTTGGAACCAATTTGTAAGTCCAATGTTTGGGGACAGGCAAACCAATTAGATATTCTACAAAAAGCTGCCCAGATAAGAAAAAGATACTGATATAGAAATAGAGGCCGATTGCCCTAGCAGCATCGTTATCCTGTAATATGAGATGGTTAAATATTAATATCGAACGTCCCAGACTCCCATGTGCAAAGGGATTAAGTCAGAGGCACCAATTTATAAATCAAAAACCAAATCCTAAGAATATAAAAATTCCCCACTACTCATTCTGTCTTAAATTTCCCTAAAATTCTCTCAGCATCCAAGAACACGCTAAATCAACTATATTACACACGCAAGCCAAAAAGAACCAAAGAGAAAACAGCAGCGCTACCGGTTCTGCCACCAGCTCCAGTGACGAGGACGGTGCTGAGACCAGAATCCGCCATTGCAACCACCGAAAGAGAACCGAATCGGCGCCTTCTGAAACCCTTGTGGAAGGTCGGGGAAATGGAAGAGGCAACGATGTGAAGTGATAGAGATGGGATTGAAGTAGAATTGGGTACGAAACAACATTTATGACATTGATGAAATGCCAGTGCTGGTGGAAATAGTGTAGCCTTCGGTTTGGTGTAGACTAATGGGACACGTGTTAGCATAGCCATGGATCGAAACTGAGAACGCTAACATGGACTGGATTTCTCTGGGTGCCTCTGGTTACGACATGTAAAGCTCTTTCCGGAAGCAGAGCACGGAAGAATGAGAGAATTATAGTTCAATTATTTTTTATAAAAATTAATTATATAAATAATTTTAATTAAATTAAATAAATGGCAATAATTTTTCTATATTCTATATAATTGTAAATAATATAATGTATACTTTTTTTTTTTTAATTTTTATACATAAACAGTCACATCAATTTATAAGTTATGTATTAAGTGTTGATATCTAGTATACTTAAATTGACATATATTAATACACCTCCAATTTTGTTAAGCTTCTCCATCATAAGGCTATAAAATCAAATATTTATATCCACGTCATTATTTTCAACAATTATTGGTAGCTTTGCTAGGTCAAATCAAATAAATATCATCCAACTTGATCCAACCATATATATTATTCTTTTTAGATTGGGTTTTTCCTTTCGGGCTTTCCCTCAAAACTTTAAATGCATATGCTAGAGGAAGGTTTTCACACCCTTATAAATGGTGGTTTGTTCTCCTCTCCAACCAATGTGGGACATCACAATCCACCCCCCTTCGGAGCCTAGTGTTCTCGCTGGCACTCTTTCCTTCCTCCAATCGACGTGGGACCGCCCCCAAATCCACCCCCCTTTGGAGCCAGTGTTCTTACTGACGCACCGCCTCGTGTCTAACAGCGAGAAGGTTGGCATATCGCCCGGTGTCTAACTCTAATACCATTTGTAACGACTCATATCTACCATTAGGGAACAGCGAGAAGACGCGTTTTAAAGCCATGAGGGGAAGCCCGAAAGGGAAAGCCCAAAGAAGACAATATCTGCTAATGATGGATCTGTGTCGTTACAATTATGCTTGTTGTATTACAAACATTAAATAAATACAAATAAATACTCTTAAAAAAAAGTGATGTGATAATAGCATATAACGATCAAAGTCCAGTATTAGCAGATATTGTTTACTTTGACCTATTACATTTTATTGTCAGTCTCGCGGTTTTAAAACACATCAATAAAAACATGTTTCATTCTACTGTTTAACCGATGTGAGATCTTACACTTTATTTTTGTGATCTTTTGTTGAAATATCATCGCTAATCCAACGGGACTTCCAATGATTATTTAGAAAAATAATTTAGGTATTTTATAAGTATAATGAAAGATCAAAGACAACTAAATTATAAAAGAAAAAGAAAAAAGATGAGTACGTTTCAATGGCTTTCAATAACCCGTTGAATACAAATTTATATTATTATAATTATATATTTATATCATATATATATATATATATCTTTTATATTTCCCAAAAATATGAAAAGTAGGAAGGTGCAAAGGTAGGACACGTGGACGGCGATGGAGGAGACATTGGAGGCGAACGGTAGGATGAACAGAAGGACGAATTTGAAAGAGTGTTGTGATTGGTTGATGGATTTCGGATCATCCACGGGACCACATCCTCGAGCAAGCCTTGTGGCCCAGTTGCTTCTTTTGGGTTGTCTGGTAGTAATGGGCCTGGAGTAATGAAAGTTGGCATTTTATGGGCTTCCATATCTGGGCCGAACATCTTGGGCTTCTTGGTTGGAGATTGGTCTTGTGGGCTTTGGCCCATTAGGAAGAATGGGTAAGCAAAGTGGAGGTGGAGGCCCTCGTAGGTAATGACGAACGTGTCTGGATCTTCTATGGACCTTTCTACTTGCTTCTTCGCACTGCATCTTGGATTCGAGCACCTATAATAGCTCCTACAAAAACAAAGAGAATTAATTAATTAATTAATTAATAAAAAACTTAAGAGGGGTTGTTTCATAAAGGTCACCAGCAAAAGAGGCTTAATTTCTTAATTTGTAGTAATTAATGGATTAAGAAGGGTAATTTTGTGGTTAATTAAAGCAAAATAATGGTAGATAAGAGAGTGGTTTGGGAAGTTAATGACATTGATTTAGTTGCATCATTGATTAAAGTGGGTGTGTTAAGTAGAAAAACATTATATTATTCTTACGACCCAAAATTGTTTATTCATTTTTATTTATGACATGTTTCTTCATCTTCTCCACTCCCATTTGACTCTCATTCTTAAATAAATAAATAAAAAGCATTTTCTATTGAACTTTGAAGGAAGAAAAGTGACGTAATTTGAGGGTCAAAATTGTCCTTAAAAAGCTCAATAAACAATTTAAATTTTCTTTTCTCAATATTTTAAAAATTGGAACGTTTCAGGTGATATCAGCTCAATCATGTAAGTCGATGATGGAAGTCCCATGTCTGTTAATTTAGGGAATGATCATGGATTTATAAATAAATAATACTCTCTTAATTGGTACGAGGCCTTTTAGAGACACCCAAAGTAAAGTCACGAGAGCTTATGCTCAAAGTTGACAATATCATACCATTTTGGAGAGTCGTGTTTAACTAACAAGTCTCACCATTTTTAAAATGGGTCGAAGAATTTACAAAAAAATACTTCATTTACCTCTCTAATTAATATGGAATATCGGGTAATTCATCAAAATATGAGAAACTAAGTGAGAAAAATTACCTAGGATTGGGGCTGTTCTTGATAGACTTCTGACCATACTTGCGCCACTTATATCCATCATCAGCCAAAGAATTTCCATCACAGCTCTTGATTCTGATGCTATATTTATGTTCAACATTATTCACCGTCACTCTCTCCCGAATTGAAGACCTGCCATTAAAACAAAACCCCACGAATTAAATTGATCTGAATCCACATAAAACAGACACTCCTGGTCCTGCATTTGAATATCACTTACCCAGCAGTAGTACGAGGAATGTGCGTGCTTGACTGCAGGTTTCTTGATCTGGGGGTAATGGAGAGCGCGTTCTCCACAGCCCCAATTGTCGGTCCGAAGTAAGCCGTACTACCAGGGACAGGGAACATGGTCGCTGGATCGCTGTTGGCGACTTGGGGGACGAGGAAGAGCGGAGAGGCAGCTGTGTCGTTGTCGTTGTCGTCGTCGTGGTGGAGAAGGTCAGTGAGGCTGAGTAGATGGTCATCGGAGACGGTGTTGTAAATATCCGACCAGGGAATGGCTGCCAGCGACTCCATGTGGAAGAAGAAAAACAGAGGATAAAGTGGAGTAGATGGGAATTCAGGATATGCGGAGAGGCTTTTACGTCCGTCGTTGGCATCTTCAATTTGACTTTTTTTATACTAATTTCACTATGATTAAAAAAATAAATAATATTAAATTATTTTGTACATTTGACTTTTCAAAAATTTGAAATTATGCTCTTATAAAATTAAAAATTATAATAGGAGCGTTCGAATATTCAAAATCCGATGTATGTATATGTGAAATGACAACTCTACCCTTATACGAAAAAGATTTAAAAAACAAGTTTAGGTCTAGTCACAGTTGACCTTCTCCACTTTTATTTGTTTTTATGCATATGTGACCTTAGGTTATAATAAAATTAATGTGTGCATTTAATGGGGAGAAGGCATAGAACCATAGAAAAAAATAATAATAATTTATTTTGAGCTTGTTTGTATTGTCTGGTTATTTTGTTTTTTTGATGTGATGGATGAATTAAGGTGGACCAAACCCTACCTGACCCATGAACCCCTCCCCCGTCTTCAACTAATGCAAGAGTCAACCACTAAACAAAATATATTAATTAATAAATCAAATTATATATATATGAATTTTATGTTGGATTTATAAGATTTAGATTGATAACAAATGATGGTGAGTGTATAATATGAAAATTAACATTAAAAATAAATAATATTTAAATTCCTTGTTTTAGGCTTTTCATTGATGGAGATCTACCTCTATTATTTATGAGAGTTTTTCTATAAAATAGAAAAATCAAATCAACAATATTGTAAATAGCGTGAAATTAGCTACCAGAAAAAGATTGAAAATAATCACATAAAGGGCAGTAAATTCCACTTTTTTACAAAAATGCCCCATATGGCAAAGCCTACAACTTACCTCATACGTCTTTATTGTATAATACTGTAATATTTTGGGGAAATAACTATTTTTTTTTTTTTTACTTCTTATTTTTTATAATTCAGTCTACCAACAATACTTTTACTATGTATCATTTTATTTTTATTTTTATATTTTAAAAAATAATGGTAATTTTCTTGGTGAATTATGAATTTATGTATAAGATGACTAATTATTTAAGTTGATTCTGAAATTTGAACCATGAGTTTCTCACCTTTTCACTGGACTAAAAGTGACTTTAATTTATAATTAAATTATAAGTAAATTATTCATTAAAACATGAGAGATACTTAAGGTTTAACAAAGTAAAATAAACTTTTAGCATGTAATTAATCTACTATTAATGTCAAAATTGATTAATTAATTTATTTTATATAACCGAGATGTATAATATGCAAATACACAAAGTTTCAACTTTGACGCGTAGTAATGCTAAAATAACCCATTTAATGACCTAAGAATTTGAAATATTCAAATTAATATATTATTTTTAATTTGACATCATCCAAATCTATTATCACACAATTCAAGATTGTTTGTAATTATTTGAATAAAGAAATAGAATATGGCCTCATTTACGACTCTATTCCTTTTTTTCATGTCAAATTTTACTATCTACGTTTAATTATGACCTCATTTACGACTCTATTGCTTTTCTCATGTCAAATTTTACTATCTACGTTTAATTTACTAAATAATTAAAACCATGGACTTTTATTTCACCAAAATATTAAATTGGAAATATTAAATGTAAAACTATATCTAAAATTTAATTATATACCGATAAAGCTATCGAGATTGAACAAATAATAATAATAATAATCGAGGTAAATTTTATAAAAATATTTTTTTATATACGAGATATATTGTTTCACATTTCCAATATAATTTTATTATTAATATCAGCTTAAAGCACAACTAAATTGTTAATGTGTGGCTGCTTTAAAAAAAATAGACTTTTATTAGAAATGTTTAGATATGTTACCTTGTTTTAAAATATTACTTTAAATAACAAATTTATTTGACTAAATTATATGGAAAGTAATTCTATTAATTAAAAACATGTTTTATTTTTGTTAACCTTTTATTAAAACAAGTTTCATCAAATTTAGTCTTTAAAATCTTAATTTTGCATTATTTACATTAAAATGTGTGTAATAACTTCATAAAATTTTCAATTTCATAGCCTAGTTTCTTATTAGCATTTATTATATTTGATTTTTTTTTTTGTTGGTCTAATAACATATGAACTTTTATTTTTGGATATTATGAAGCTATGAATTTCTTAAAAGGTATTAAATACAAAATTAAAATCCAAAAAAAAAAAAATAATAATAAAAAGTCAAATTTATGAATCTATTTCTATCAAAATTTGAAATCTGACCAAGTTAATTAGTAATTTAATTAATGACATTAAACCCACAAATTTTTCTTTTTTATTTATTCATTTCTTCAAACAAATGTAAATTTAAAATGTTTTATTGAAATATAAGGTAATAATAAACTGCCATGACTTATATAGCATGTTTAAAGTAAAAAGTTTACTAAATGTGAGATTTTACGGTGATCGAAGTTGGAAACGAAATATTATTTATAAGAATATGAAAATCTTTTCCTAACAAACACATTTTAAAATCGCAAGGTTAATAACAATATGTTACGGATCAAAACTGACATATTTACTATTGATAAGCTTGAACTATTACAAATAGTATCATACTTATACATCGGGCGGTGTACAAATAAAGATGTAGGTCTCTAAAAGAGTACATCTTAGGAGAACGAAATATTATTTACACGAGTGTGAAAAACTCTCCCTATCATATACATTTTAAAATTGTGAGGTTGACGGCTTCACATTGACCAAATCGGGAGTTATTCAAATAAAGTTGAAATTTTTGAGTGATGGTTATTATTTATTTTTTACCATGTAAATATAAAAAATGAAAAAGAAAAAATGGAGGGTTGTCTACTACAGCGCAGTTGCATAACGTAACCCTACCATGGGTGTCTGTCTGATTGGTTTACTTCAAAGTGAGCGAAGGTTTGTCTGTTTGTGGCTTTGACTTTGTACACACGACATAAAACCCACCCGACCCTACAAACCGGACCGGCGGTTTGACCAATTGTCAGGCTTCGAGCCTTAGCCACGGTACCCCCAAAGCAACCAGGTTTGGGTTTCAGTGTCAAAAAGTCAAAGGTATCTGCAAGACACGTGTATAGGGGCCCCACATTTTACTCGAGGATCTCGTGTGGGAAGGATGGAGCGGCTCCGAGATGTCCCCGTCCTGCTTTGGATCCGACACCTGACCATGACCCGTGTCGGATCCTTCTAGATCCAAACAAAAAGAAGAAGCGTGATCCCCTCGTCCATGCCAACCATTCTTGGGGAGAAGGACAAAATATAAATTTAGCTGTTCCATATGAATTTGGTGTTTGAAAAAAACAAAATTCGAAAGGGGGAGCGATAGAAAGACCCGACGACATGTTATAATTACTCGGGTCACTTTCAATTATCACATATATGACAATTTATCGTTGTTTTTGTTATCATTTGAGTTAAAAAATTTATTTCAAATTTAAAATGACGTATGGTCTATCCTTTGTTCTCGAGAGCACTAAATCGATCAATGAAAAGGGGTGTGTTCATGGCTAACTACACGTATTATTATTCTACTCAAAATAATAATTATATATATTATTTAAATTTTGGTTCATAAAATTTGAAATTAGTGTAGTTTTTAAGATAATGACCGGCAATCGTACTTTTAATTCTATTTTTACATGGGCAAGATATGGAATACAAAGTGTACCCTTTAAAGCCTTATTGGGCTTCTATGAATTTGGGCCGCAAGTCCATGGGCCCATAATTGAGCGGATCGAGATGTCGGTGCGTCAGGTGCATGGGCTCCACACGTATGCCACGAGTGGCGGTCGGAATTTGAAGAGAATTTAAACTTCTAATTTTATAATAATATATTATCAACCTATTCCATATTTATTAAGACTTGTAGACTTAATTGTGAAAAATTATATTATTATATTAATTCTAGAAAATTTTAAATATAGTAACTCTATTATTAAATAAAAAATAAAAAATTATAAGGCATTTTTAAACGTAAACTTGAAAATTTAGAGGGTAAACTTGTAATTTAACATTAATTTATTTATTTTAATAGAAAAAAGACAATTTGTTGAGACATTATAAAAAATAAACAATGCTCATAATTGTGTCACTATAATTTAAGGATATATTTATTGTCTTTAAGGTTATTAAAGATTTTATTTATTTATATTTTTATAATGAGAATATTTAAACCCTGAAATTTTAAAATGAAACTTTTGGGGTAAGCGAAAGGACAAATGCAACCCGCAGTTCAATTTCCCACGAAATGTTTAAAATTTCTGAAATTTCAAACGCACTTTACGTAAAAACCCTCCAAAGACCTTCCCTTCCCGTTTTCGTACTTTCGCGATTCCCGTCTTCTTCAACCAGAGAAGATTACGGCCTTGCACATTGGAAATTTCGCCGCCGGAAATGGAGAAGACCGATGCGAGATCCGTTACGAACGGCAACGAATGTCTGACGCCGAGGAACTGCGCTTTTAGAATTCCGGCGGCATCCAAATGCCCGCCACCGCCGAAGAAGAAAGCGGTCACTGGCCGGAAGCAGCCTCCACCGACGAGTGGTTATTTCCACCCTCCCGATCTCGATGCTTTGTTTTCCATGCCGCCTTCATCACGATGGGAAGCTTGTGTTTAGATGCATCACGGTATTCGATTCGTCAAATTTACAACATATTTGAAATTTTATCTGTTGGATTGATTCGTTTATTTCTTCCGTCATTTGGATCCTCCGTCCGTGAAATTTGGCGGTTTTTTGTTCTTTATATGGCATAGATTTAGTACTTGATTTCTTGTAGGCAAAACTTCAATATATGTGTTGTGAGTGAGAATTAGTTTGGAACTGTTAGACCAAATAATTGGATTGCATAAACCAGTTCGGTAGAATCTCATTTGCACACATCACTTGAATTGAATTGTATTACACTTGCTGAAATTCTTTCATCTTAAAGAACAAGCAAACGCACACGCACACTTCAAATTCATTGAAAGTGGATTTAGAGATTCAAGATGTTAAACATCA